TGAATATCGTAGTATGGCTGCTACTGTGTGTGAAATTCAATGGATCACATATCTCCTTCAAGATTTTTGCATCGCGCTTCAGCTTCCCATTCCTCTTTCCTGTGACAACCAGGTTGCTCTGCATATCAGTGCAAACCCGATGTTTCATGAACGAACGAAGCACCTTGATATTGATTGTCATGTCGTTCGAAATCAATTCAAGGCTGGTCTAATCTTGCCACAGCATGTGTCTTCCAGTGTTCAACTAGCGGATGTCTTCACAAAGTCTCTTTCCATTCCTCAGTTCACGTTCTTGAGTTCCAAGTTGGGTTTGGTGGATTTTCATCAAACTCCAACTTGAGGGGGGATGTACGAATTACATACATATTATTACTCGTGGACTTAATTGTACTTCTTACATAGTTTAGGTCCTCCTTTGTAATAAGAATAGTTTTAGTTAGTTCGTTGTTTTCTTTTTCCCTCTTTCTCTTCTTCTATAAATAGTCTTTGCTGTAATCTTTCAATTAGTATTGGGAATAAATAAAATTGTTGGCTTCATTTGGTTTGAACAGATAGCAAAATTTATTTAGCATAAATTGTTTTATAGAAGACTGTCATAAACTCAATTGGCCCAGTTTTCGTAATCTTTTAATGAGGCATAATTTTTGGACTTTGCCACGATTTTCTGATCAATTGTTCAAGAGATAGAAAAATGGAAGCCAGCATTTTGGGCTTTCATACAAAAGAATGTGGCCAAGGACTCAAGGGAATTTATTGGACTTTCGATAGTCTATGCTCATTCTGTTATTAACTTCTTTTCTGGAATCATAGGTGAAAGTTATGTCTACATTATCACTTTCAATGGGATCATTTAGACAAGGAAGTGCTCAATCTTTTTATTGTTTTGTGGCTTCTAGGATCTTATCACTTTCTCCAATCTTTTTATCCTGAGAACTATTCATTTCGGTTCACCATATGAAGGCTTTGAGATGTTTAGCCTCTACTATAAATATGCTTTTAGCATTGCCTTGTGTGGGGATTTACATCTTATTGGATTTTTTCCTTCAACTTAGAAGTAAAATTTTAATTTTTATTCATATTATCTTTCTTCTTTTCTCTTCCATATATTACAACTAGTATTTTGACACTTTTCTCCAGGGAGAATCCCGTTCTCATATTTGGAAAATATTCAGATGCGATTCATGAAAAACTATGGAAGAGTGGCTCCTTATGCTCCTGCCTACGCTATGAATGATGAATTCTCAAGGGTCTTGCATCAGCAAATGGAGTTTTTCTCCAGTAATCCTAGTGCAGACACACTCAACCGTGTCCGAGGAGAAGTCAGTGAGGTAAGATTACTTGGTCACCTTTACCCAACTCCCAAAAGAAAGAACATTAACAGGAGCTAAAAAAGAGAATTCACTTTATTAGGGATTGAATGTTGTTTTTACTTTAGTCGTTTATATTCTATGTGCCATGTGTATGAAGCTGGTTATGTCATCGAATTTTTTGTAAATCTTAATTATATGATTCATTGGGAAGATCAAATGTATATTGTTTTTAGTGATAAATAATACTGTCTATTTCTTGGTTTTAGCTGCATTTGTTCGGGCTTTTTAGTTCTTGCAGTTTGCTTTTAGTTTTGTGTAGCCATCTTTGATTATCAAGCGTATGTAGCTGGAGTATTTTCTCAAAGGTTTTGCCATGTGTTAGAGGTTGACCCTTTTTATATATCTGATATTGACTTTGTCCTCAATTTAATATACAGAATAATCACTTTGTCCTTGTTTTAATATGCCCTTCTTCTTTTGTACTGTTAAAGCATACATTTACTTAGATTGCGTTTGATTGCGAGCATGAAATTTGCATGGAAAGAAAATAAATTAAATTGCCTAGAAATTATCTATATGGAAGTTATTAATTAAATGTATTTGATTGCTTTAGTTTTCAACGTAGGAAATATTATACTTGTCCAATTTTTATTGGAAAAATGAGCCAACATTGTTCAAAGGTGAGCCCGTCACCAAAGCGACCGACCGGGGGGTAACTGTTGATATCTGATCTCACCAGGCAAGCTCCGACCTGGGGTGTAACTGTTGATATCCGACCTCACCAACTCGAGCTCCGACTTGGGTGGTAACTGTTGATATCCGACCTCACAAGGTGAGCTCCGACCTGGTGGTAATCCGAGTTTGAATATGTGAGGTCAGCTCGAGGCTCAAGGAGACGTAATGATTGAAGATTCTTTACACACTGTCAAACGTCCAATCAATTAATTGCATCTGGATTGGCTCATGACAACACCTCCTAAATCCACCAATCATGTGCCTTAGCTTCCTTCTCTAAGTAACTCATTAATTGCTGGAGGCCACTTGCAAGGTTAAACTCGTGATGACCTGACAAGCCGAGCTCGTTAACCAATCCAAACACGCCAATAGTGTACTTTCTCAGCTCGGTACTGTAGCTGATAAGACAAGAAAATGATGAATGCACGTTCACCCTTCCCTATAAAAGGAGGGATAAGAGACTTGGAAATGAGAGGATGAAAAATCACTGGATATTTCAAATATCTCCTTGTAGTTTACAGTTTACTTTTGTAATTTACAAGTTATTATCAGTAAAAATCCTCATTTACATCCTAAGTTGGCTTGAATTTTGTATATATAATTTTTGACGTCAACAGTTTGGCACTAGAAGGAGGGCCCTTACCTTGTAAAAGCAGCCCTAACTCTCCATAAAACCCACAAAAATATCATCATGGAAGAACTTTCGGCATCCAAAAATCAATCCCACACTCGTCCTGAACAAACCAACAATCAACAAAATATTGGAAGAAGACGAGGTCAAAACGAAGCCGCTGACCCTCAAACGACCAGGGTGAGGGAAGCCATTGAAAAGTTGACAAATGTAGTCAACAGATTGGAACAAAATCAAACTCATGTTATTCCGCTCGAAACCGAGGTGAAGTCCCCTCATAGGAAGAAAATCGGACGACCTCCCACCAGAAAGCTCTCCATTTTTCAAGAAAGGAATCTTCCAAAAGCTGAACTGAAGAGATCAGGAGTTCTCCGTAAACGGCAGAACCAATAGAAATTGAAATGAGTGCCTTAAAAAATCGCGTTGCCGATCTGGAAGCAAAAAAACAAAGGAAGCACGGGGAAATATCTCACTACGTCATTCCCCTTTCACTGAAGACATTTTTACTCAACATATGCCTAACAAATTTCCCATCAAGGAAATCATTCAAACATTGCTCATCAGCAAGTCATTCAAGCTTTGCTCATCAGCAAGCCGACCTTACTCATAAGCAAGCCGAACTAAGGTTGCATGTGCTGCAATACTCAGACAAATTTCCTATCAAGAAAATCATTCAAGCCTTGCTTATACAAGGCGGACTTGCTCATAAGCATGCCGAACTGAGGTTGCATGTGTTGCAACACTAAGATCAAGAAAATCATTCAAGTCTTGCTCATTAGCAAGTCATTCAAGCCTTGCTCATAAGCAAGTCGAACTGAGGTTGTATGTGCTGCAACACTCAGACAAATTTCCTATCAAGGAAATCATTCAAGTCTTGCTCATCAGCAAGCCGACCTTGCTCATAAGCAAGCCGAACTGTGGTTGCATGTATTGCAACACTTAGACAAATTTCCTATCAAGGAAATCATTCAAACCTTGCTCATCAGCAAGTCATTCAAGCCTTGCTCATCAGCAAGCCGACCTTGCTCATAAGCAAGTCGAACTTGAGGTTGCATGTGCTGCAACACTCAGACAAATTTCCTATCAAGGAAATCATCCAAGCCTTGCTCATCAGTAAGTCATTCAAACCTTGCTCATCAGCAAGTTATTTAAGCCTTGCTCACCAACAAGCCGAACTGAGGTTGCATGTGCTGCAACACTCAGACAAATTTCCTATCAAGAAAATCATTCAAGCCTTGCTCGTCAACGAGTCATTCAAACCTTGCGCATCAGCAAGTCATTCAAGCCTTGCTCATCAGCTAGCCGACCTTGCTCATAAGCAAGCCGAACTGAGGTTGCATGTGCTGCAACACCCAAAAAAATTTTCTATCAATGAAATCATTCAGGCATTGCTCATCCGTAAGTCATTCAAGCTTTGCTCATGAACAAGCCGACCTTGCTCATAAGCAAGCAAGTCATTCAAGCCTTGCTCATAAGTAGGCCGACCTAAGGTTGTAAGTACTGCAACACTTAGTGCAATTCCTA